TTCCCCAAACAGTATGGCTACACTGAGGGTCTCTTAATGTTGGATGCCGACTAGTGGCCGGGTACCCTATTGTGAGTTTTTTTTCCTAAATAAATCAGTATCCTGCCAGTTGTGAGGGTGGTCCTCTTTTGTCAGAAGTTTTTTCTCAGGTCTATTTTTTTTTCAGAAGCTTTATCCACCTTTATCCACCTTTCTTTGGGTAAAGCTTGTCCATTTACTTTAGAAAACCATATCCATGTTAAAGCCTTCAAAACGCAAGGCTTCCCAAATAATTGGATGCTGTATGAAAGCCTTATTAAAAACAGCGCCCAGACAATTTTTCAAGGGGGTACCCCTTGAGTGACCGAGATCCTCAATAATGTAATTGTTCGGATGGTACCCTATTGCGCACAAAAACTTGTGGGGTCAAGAAACACAAAACTTGTCGAAGGAAGTTTAGAAGTGAAACTTCCGACAATATGGACAGACGAAAAGCAGAGATGGAAAGGGTCAGAGAGAAGAGAAGAGTAGAAGAGAGAAGATCAGAGAAGAGAAAGCGTCAGAAGAAAGAAGATGCAGGTGCGCGAAAAGGTAAGAAAGTCGCGAGACACTGTGTTTTTCCAATGTTTTGTGGCTCTGGAGGGTCGAAAAGTAGGCTCGCTAAAGCGGCGGGTGCGGAGCCATCTGGCCAGATGAGAGATGAAAAATTGCACGCCGTTGTGGCGCGAAGCACATTTTCACGTAAAAATGTACAAAGCACACCAGCTTCGGACCACTTTTAGTAGTTGAGATGTCGAAAAAGTGCACGCCGTTGTGGCGCGAAGCACATTTCGAAGTCAAAAGTGCAAAAAACTGACGGGTACGGAGCACTTTTGGACATTCAGATGCGCTTTCGCGTGGCAGGCGCAAGGGATTGTGCACCTTGTCAAAAATGAGCAAAACGTGAGGGTTTTGTGGCATTTCCAAAAGCGATGGCAGGCGTGGGACATTTGAAGAGGATCTTCAAAGAGGCATTTCGCGTGGCGGGCGCAGTACAAAAGTCATGTTCATCAGAGATGTTAGGAGGTCAGGGCGCTGATTTCCTGAGACGGGTTGCATTTTGGAGCATCGGATCTTCAGCTTTGCTGAGTGAGATGATTTTGCGTGACAGGTGCAGCACTTCGTATGACTTGGCATCACTTTTTCGTAGCAGGCGCAGACAGGTGGACTGGAAAAATCGCAAAACGCATTGGTACGAGGCTGTCAGCTCCACACTCAAGTTTCCATTTTTGAAGGATGCCTCGCAGAGTTCATCTGTTTTTGATGTTGTCAAATTCGCAACCTGAAGAAGTCTCGCTGAATTGTTCGTTTTGGATGTTGTCCAATTCAAAAATTGAAGAAGTTTCGCAGAATTGCTTCGTTTTTGATGCTGTCTACTTCGAAAAATGAGGAAGTCTCGCAGAGTTGCTTCGTTTTTGATGTTGTCAAGTTCAAACATTGAGGAAGTTTCGCAGAATTGCTGCATTTTTGATGTTGTCAACTTTGCAAAATGAAGAAGTCTCGCAGAATAGCTTCGTTTTCAAGCTTGCAGATAGACAGGTAGATAGATAGACAGACAGACAGATAGATAGATAGGTAGGTAGGTAGATAGATGGATCAGTAGGAAGGTAGGTAGATAATCAGAGAAAGAGAGAGAAACAGAGAGAAAAAGAGAGAAAAAGAGAGAGAGAAAGAGAGAGAAAAAGAGAGAAAGAGCGAGAAAGAGAGAGAGAAAGAGAGGAGACCTCAATCACATTTCGGTCCATCAGTGGCTTCCCTCTGCCATCCGTGATTCACACCAACCAATCTCTCCTATAGGTTTCCTATTTTTGAAACTTCCGCCGCCGCCTTGTGCGGTACTACTGGTATCCTGTATCAACAGTATATATATATAGATATTATATATACATACACTTGTCTGTTTCTAGTTCCCCCAATCTCTGCGGCCGACTCAGGGATGAAGCCGGCTATCGAGGAGATAGATCGCCTCGAAGCCGGCGCCAGAGCATAGAAAAAAGATCGCTTGCAGGGTTGTCAAGTTGCTGTGAAGAAAGAAACAGTTCGTTACAATGTTTGGCCTCTAAACATCTATAAACGATAGCGTTCAGTTGGTGAACATAACTCCAATAACTATGGTTGATTCCACTGATAACTGTAGTATTCATAGGGGGTTATAAACCAACATACAATTGGGCCCCACATTGGAGCTAAGTTGGTGGACACAACTCCAATAACTCTCAAGAACTCGGATTAAAGGTTTGACCCACGGATACGTCTCATGTTTCCCCACACGCGCAAATGACAGCTCCACTGGATAGGACAAGCCAGATCGCTGGAAGATCTTGGACACATCCCGTTCCTAAGTTCTGGATTGGTATTGAAACTCATGACTCATGACACATCCCGTTGGAAGCCCGCGCCTCTTCGCCTGCGCCTGGTGGCAGCACTGTGCGGCAGCACCGTCAGCCGCATCCTGGACAGTGCAGCACCTCTTCGCCTGCAC